GCAAGTATTAATTGCATGAGTAGTGGGTTAAAGATCTGGAGGCTTGTCTGAAAACCATGGTGCATCCGTGATTCAGGGTGGGTCGACGCCTGAGGCCCAGAAAACCAGTCATCAGTTTCTTGCACTACATGATGACACGGGCTTTTGTCTGTCATTCCTTTGTAGATGAAAGCAGGGGGTGTGGTATTGGGATGAGGGTGAGGAGTGGCCCCCACCACATGATGGAGAAAAAGGGAGGAGGAGCAGATCTAGAGAGAGATGAGGGCATCTGTTTGGGATGTTTTCAATATTGTGAGTCTGAAGCTCTGCAGAATGGCTGGGGTTGAAGGGAGAGGCCTGGGGGTCACTGGTGTGCAAGGAGTGGCAGAGGCCCCGGGTCTAGATGATGTGGCCCAGGTGACCATCATGTGACCATGCACTGCTTGTGTTTACAACTCTCAGGACTTTGGGGACAGAATATTTCTCACCGCAACATTTGGTACCCAGCTCAGTGCCAGGAATGTGGCCAAGGACAGAACTTATAGAGCAGAAAGGAACCTTCAAATTCAAGTTACAAGGGTGAACTGAAACCCAAACAGTGGAGCCACCTGCCTGAGGTCACTCAGCTAAACAGCCATCATGCTGGCTGCAGGGCCAGATCTCCACACTGCCAGTCCAGGGTCCCTCTCAGGAGGTCACATTGCCTCAGGGCAGTGAGATGAGTTATGTGAGCTCAGATGCTCAGGCTTGGGGTCTGCTTAGCTTCTGTGAGTCTCAGTTTCATGATCAACAAGATTGTTAGGGATTAACTGAGACCATGCCACATGTAAAGCACAATATTTGGCACATAGTAGGTGCACCATAAGTGTTTATTTTCTATTTCTTTCTTTCAAGAAGACCAGGAATTACAACGACATAGAAAGGATATAGGCGGGGCACAGTGGCTCACGCCGGTAAGCCCAGCAATTTGGGGGGATCACTTAAGGCCAGGAGATCAAGACCAGCTTGGGCAACATAGCAAGACCCCATTATAATTTTTAAAAAGGAAAGGATACAGAGTGATGGATGAAGCTGGTTGCTGCGACCTGAAAGGTTAAAAGGCTGAGAGGTGAGTGGTACAATCCTAGACATCTAATCCATCATCAGAGATCAGAGAACAGTCATTGCTTTCCTCCAGGGGGTGTGCAAGTTTCTGCTCCAGCCGGTGACGCCAGAGGGAGGGTGTGTGCCTGCTTACCCTCCCCTCTTGTCTGCCTTCCTCACTCCTTTCTTGGCTCCACCCTGCTGGCTCAGTGACGTGGCAGGGAGGAGACGGTTCTGGCTGCAAACAGTCTTCCAGGCTTAGTTGCCACCGGAGGAATAACTGAGGAGTCTGAGTTGAAAAGGTAAGACGGACAAAGGGCGGGGAAGGCTTGAGAAGTCGACCTTGAAGAAGTCCCTGGGCTTTGAGGTCTGGGGATTTGAGGGACTGGAAGTCCCGGGGGGAGTGGGAGGAGCACTCCGATCTGCTGGCAGTCCTAGAGGCCCCCTTCCAAGGTTCTGTCACATCCACACACCATTTATTCATGCCTGCTGTTTTCCTGGCAACTCTGGTCACATGGAGAAAATGAAACTGAAAGGAGACCCTGCTTGTTGCTGTGCCTTCACCGGGGCATCTTCATTCTACACTGATATGTTCCTCAGGGTTTCCTTGACGTTCTTTCCTTCTCTGCTTCTTAATTTATAGCAGCCCACCTGACACCCGGGAACTGTCTACATAAACACTTGGTTGAAGGATTTCATTGCCTGGTGATTGTGTTTGTGCTGCACAATCGATTAGGCCATTAACCCTTGAGGCTTTGAAACCATCAGTGTGGATAGATTGCTGAAAAAGGGTTGCTTCATGAATCTTTCAGCAGATGCAGTTATTTCAATATTAATGTCACAGTTTGGGGCTGTCTGATTCTCAGATCAGAGTCTGACTGAGGACAGGTGGACGGAGCTGATAATTCCAGGTTTCTTTTAGTAGTAACTTTATGCATGTGGGTAGGGAGACTGGGATTTATTAAAATTTTTCTTTTCATAAAGCAACATAATTAGCTCTACTACTCATTGGGTGTCTAATATTTACAACATACTGTGCTTTAACGCATTTTACACACATGATGGTACTTATTGTTGTTCTAGGGTTTGAGGAAATAGAAAATTAAGACTTAGCCATCTGAGGTTACACACCAGGAAGTGACAGCCTAATGTTACACAGCCAGGGGCTCAAACTTCGATCTCCCTTAGGTCATGATCCAAGCGCTTTCCACCATTACAGGTGTTTCTTTTTTCCTTCTTTTTTTTTTTTAGTCATAGTCTCACTCTGTCACCCTGGCTGGAGTGCAGTGGCACGCTTATGGTCACTGAAGCCTTGACTTGCCGGGCTCAGACAATCCTTCCACCTCAGCCTTCCCCGTAGCTGGAACTACAGGTGTTTCTTGACCTACGATGGGGTTACGTCCTGATGAACTCATCGCAAGTTAAAAATATTGTACGTCTAAAATGTATTTAATACACCTAACCTACTAAGCATCATCACTTAGTCCATTCTGCCTTACATGGGCTCAGAATACTCACGCTAGCCTGCAGTTGGGCAAAATCATCTAGCTCACAGCCTCTTTTATAATAAAGTGTTGAATGTCTCATGCAATTTACTGAAATCTGTACTGAAAGTGAAAAACAGAATAGTGGTAAGGATACTCGATGTGCGGTTTCTACTGAATGATATTGCTTTCACTCCATCGTAATGTCAGAAAATCACAAGTCGAACCATGATAAGTCGGAGATGGTTTGTACTTTAAAGAGGGGTGTACAGTTGTACAAAGAGAATATGCATAGTCAGCGAACACTGTGAGCAACCTTCCTGCTGATATAAGTGGACATCACAGAAACAAAGAACTGAATACGTCATGTTCTCACTCATAGGATGGCCTTGAGCATTAGTCACACTAGCACAGGGAGGGATTGCAGTCACTGGGCACTGCTAGGGAAAGGAGGGAGGGCAGAGGTGAGGGCCCATAACAACACAAAGGGAACTTGGGTCATCGCCAGTTAGAAGCCCAAACTTCACCTGCATGCAGTTTACTTATGAGTTAACCCTCATTTGTACTATATATTCCTATAATAAAATACAATTTTTTCTTTGAGTTGAAGTCTCACTCTGTTGCCCAGACTGGAGTGCAGTGGCCACTCCCGGCCACCGCAGCCTTGACCTGCTGGGCGCCGGTGATCCTTCTGCCTCAGCCTTCCGAGTAGCTGAAACTACAGGTGCGCACTACCACGCCCGGCTAATTTTTTATTTATTGCAGAGATGAGGTCTCACCAAGCTGCCCAGGAGGGTCTCGAACCCGCGGGCTCAGGAAATCCACTCACCTCAGCCTCCCAAAGGTGCGGGATTACAGGCTGAGCCACCAAGCCCGGTTTAAAATACAATTTTTAAAAAGCAAATGAACACAGGCCATGAAATACAGTTTTCCTATTGAATGAGGGCTCTTCTTTTTATTTATACATCCTTGATATACATATTTTTCGGGTCTTCTTTTTTTTTTTAAGAGACCACCTATTTCTGGTAAAAATATGCTTACGTGATGTTGAAAGAAATTTGCTAATATAGGTTGAAAGTCCTAAATACAATCATATACTCTGACCAGTCATTCAGTTATTTGAAGTCTATCATAAGAAATCTCTCTTAAGGTCTATCATAAGAAAATAAGTTAAAATAAGCTGAATTTGCTGCAACATCATTTAGAATTATTTTTAAAGATTCAATTTAAAAAATCTTATTAGCTGGGCTCGGTGGCTCAGCTTGTAATCCCAGCACTTTGGGAGACTGAGGTGAGTGGATTGCCTGAGCCTAGGGTTTGAGACCAGCCCAGGCAACTTGGTGAGACCTTGTCTCTACAATAAAATAAAAAAATAGCTGGGCGTGTTAGCGCACGTCTGTAGTTCCGGTTACTTGGAAGGCTGAGGCAGAAGGATCGCTGGAGCCCAGTAGGTCGACGCTGGGGTGGCCGTGAGTGCCACTGCACTCCAGCCTGGGTGAAGGAGTGAGACTCCAACTCAAAAAAAAAAAAAAAAAAAATCTTGTTAACAACTCATTTTTGAAAACCACTCAGTAATAGGGAAATAAAACAACTTCATGATTTTATATTACACAGTCATTAAAAATGTTTTAAAAGACTTTGTAATAACATAAAATTGTTTATAGGACAACATTAAATGAAAGGAAGCAGAATACAAAATTACTTACATAGCATGAGCCCACTGACTATAAAAACTCTACAGAAATAGACTACATGCAGCCATAAAGAAGGACAAAATTATGAACTTCCATAGACTTAGAGTTTCTAATATTATCACAGAAACAACTGAGTACCACATGTTCTCACTCATAAGCGGACCTTGAACAATTATCATAATATTATAAGAAAGGGATTGGCAGTAGTGGGAAACTGCCAGGGGAGAGAGGGGCACACCTCATCCACAAGGTGAACGTTTGTATACCTAACCCTGAATTGTACCCCGCATCTTTGAAATTAAAAAAAAAAGCCTCAGAAAAATATTTAAAGACATTAAAAAAAAAAATAAAGAAATATACTACAGTATTAAAAGTGGCTGTTTCTGAGCAGTGGGATTATAGAGCCATCATTTTCTTATTTCAAATGTATATATATTCATAATATTCTATAATTTAAAAATTCTGTAATGAGTAGATGTTTCTAAAAGGTTGCTAGTAAAATTAATTTCTCTGAGTCAAAGGTTTTCTATTGTACAATGTCTTCTACCATCAAATAACAACATGTTAAAGTATAAAATCCTTCTCTTTGTCTCTGGGTGGAATGTCAGAAGACCGAGAGCGTTCTTTCTCCTCATACTGCTGGCCTAGAGTCAGGCCGTCCCCGTTTACCCTCCAAGCTGCTTGGATTAAGTGCCTAGGAGATACGTTTTCCTAGTTTCAAGGGAAAGGCCAAAAGTTGTTGCCGCTGGCATTTGCCATCATGGAGACCAAAGGTCACCCCAGCCCCCGGGAGGGACCCGCGTCCCCCAGCGGCCGGAGGGCTGCAGCGGAAGACGGTCGTTTGCTGATCAACGCTGTTAAGGAAGAAGACGTCGACCGGGTCCAGCGACTGCTGAAAAGCGGGGCTGACGTCAACTTCCAGGAAGAAGACGGGGGCTGGGCACCTTTGCACAACGCCGTGCAGATGAACAGGGAGGACATCGTGGAGCTTCTGCTTCAGCATGGGGCCGACCCTCACCTCCGGAAGGGAAACGGGGCCACGGCCCTCATCCTCGCGGCCATCCAGGGAAACGTGAAGCTCCTCGAACTCTTCCTGTCTGCAGGGGCAGATGTCGATGACCCTGACGTTCATGGCTTCACAGCTTTCATGGAAGCCGCTGCCTACAATAGGGTCGACGCCTTAAGGTTTCTTCGCCAGAGGGGAGCGGAGGTGAACTCGAGGCGGAAGACCACGGAGGCGCAAAGGCGGCTTGGGGGAGGAGGGGCCACAGCGCTCATGGATGCCGCGGAAAACGGCTGTCTGGAGGCCTTGAAGGTCCTCCTGGATGAGATGGGGGCGGATGTCCATGCCCGTGACAATAAGGGCCGAAACGCCTTGATTCGCGCGCTTCTGCGCGCCCAGGATGACCGAGTGGAGGGTGTCACCCGCCTCCTGCTGGACCATGGGGCTGATGTCAAGGTGAGGGGAGAAGGGGGGAAGACGCCCCTGATCCTGGCGGTGGAGAAGAAGCGCTTGGGTTTGGTGCGGATGCTGCTGGGACAAAAGGACATAGACATCGACGACACAGACAGCGAGGGCAAAACGGCGCTGCTGCTGGCTGTCGAACTCAAACTGAAGGAAATCGTTGAGTTGCTGTGCGACAGAGAAGCCCGCATGGACTGCGGGGATCTTGTGATGGTAGCCAGGCGGAATTATGACACTGGGCTTGTAAAGTTTCTTCGCCTTCGTGGTGCTAAGGAACATTTTCACCCTCCTGCGGAAGACTGGGTGCCTCAGAGCTCCCGCTGGGCCGAACCCCTGAAAAACCTCCGCAGAATATACCGCCCTATGATCGGCAAACTCAAGACCTTTCTTCTTGAAAAGTATAAAATCGCTGACACTTCTGAAGGCGGCGTCTACCTGGGATTCTATGAGGGCCAAGAGGTGGCTGTGAAGACATTTCGTGAAGACAGCCAACGTGCCCGGCAGGAAGTCTCCTGCCTGCAAAGCAGCCGAGAGAACAGTAACTTGGTGACATTCTATGGGAGTGAAAGCCACAGGGGCTGCCTGTACCTGTGTGTCACCCTCTGTGAGCAGACTCTGCGAGCGTGCTTGGATGAGCTCAAAGGGGAAGTTGTGGAAAATGAAGAAGATGAATTTGCCCGGAATGTTCTCTCGTCTATATTTAAGGCTGTTCGAGAACTGCATGTGTCGTGTGGTTACACTCACCAGGATCTGCGGCCACAAAACGTCTTAATAGGTGAGTCCCCGATCCCCAGTTGTCCCTTAGAAGTTGTGGGGTCTTGTTACAAAAGGAAAAGCTTTTCATTGCAGAGAGGAATGTCCTAGAGTAAATGTGGATTCTTCAATTTGAGGATCATTACAGCAAGTTCATAATTACAGTGCAATCTCTCCTGCTGCCAGTTATGACTGGGTTCCCTCACTCCACACGGAGGTCAGTGGATGGCAACAAAATACTAGGCTAACCTTTTACTGCTGTTAGCAAAATAACAATATGAAGGTATGTCTTAGGTGAAACCGCTCCAGAAATTTGAATTCCTAAAGTAGTCTGCAAACCAGATAATCCTATAAGTGAGTTCCTTCAAACAGGATGGTAGTAAGTGTGAAACTGAATGACACTATTGAGGCCAAAATCGAGGAAGTCAGAACAATATGTGACACAGTGAAGCCACGAACTCTAAAGCAGAACAAATCAGAATCTACTGGTCCAAGCCCAAAACAAAATAGATGAAAACAACACTAAAGGAAACAGGCAGAGCTGTTTTCCAGCTTCAGTTTCCTCATTTGAGACGGATAATGCTACCTTCATAAGGTCACTATGAGGCCTAAGTGCTATTTATTAAGCAAGCGTTAAAACCACTCAAGTGGCTGGGCAGAGTGACTCACACCTGTAATCCCAGCACTCTGGAAAGCTGACATGAGAGGATTGCTTGAGATCAGGAGTTCGAGACCAGCCTAGGCAAAGTAGTGAGACCTTGTCCCTACAAAAAATAATTTTAAAAAGTTAACCAGATGTGGTGGCATGTGCCTGTAGTCCCAGCAAATTGGGTGGCTGATGCAGGAGGATCACTTGAGTCCAGGAGTTTGAGGCTGCGGCAAGCTCTGATCATGCCACTGCACTCCAGGCTGGGTAATAGAGTGAGACATTGACTCAAAAAATAAGAAATAAAATAAAACCACTCAAGAAACTAGTAAGTGATTATAGCAGAGTTACAGGATGCAAGGTTAATATAAACAGATTAATTGCTTTTCTATATAGCAGCAATGACCAAGTGGAATTTGAAATTTAAAACACAATGCCATTTATATTAACACCCCCTAAAATGAAACACTTAGGTCTAAATCTAGCAAAATATGCACAAGATCAATATGAAGAAAACTAATAAGACCGATAAAGAAATAAAAGAAGAGCTAAAGCAACGGTGAGATATTCCATGTTTATGGATAGAAAGACTCAATATTTTCAGGATGTTAGTTCTTTCCAACTTGACTTATAGATTCAAAGCAATCGTAATTAAAGTTCCAGAAAATTATTTCATGGATATTGACAAACTTATTCTAAAGTTTATTGGTGAGGCAGAAGACTCAGAAATCAAGAAAGTATAATATTTGGCAGAAGAATAGACAAATAGATCAACGTAACAGAATAGATAGTCCAGAAATAGACACACACAAATTAAGTCAACTTATCTTTGGCAAAGAAGCAAAGGCAGACAATGAGTAAAAGATAGCTTTTTCAGCGATGTTCTGTAACAACTGGATATCCACATGCAAACAGAATGAACCTAGACATAGACCTACATCTTTTTTTAAAAAAATTAGCTCAAAATGGATCACAGATATAAACATAAAAGCTGAAAACTGTAAAATGCCCAGGAAGGTAACATAGGAATAAATTTAGATGACTTTAGGTTTGGTGATGGCTTTTAAAAAATATTTTAATTGGAGTCTCAATCTGTTGCCCAGGCTGAAGTGCAGTGGCACACTCACTGCCACCCCCGTGTCGACCTGCTGGGCTCTGGCGATCCTTCCACCGAGTAGTCGGAGCTACAGGCGCGTGCTACCATGCCCGGCTGATTTTTAAAAAAAATTTTTTGTCTCTCCGAGTTGCCCAGGCTGGTCTCAAACCCACAGACTCAGGTAATCCATTCGCCTTGGCCTCCCAAAGTGCTGGGATTACAGGGTGAGCCACCAAGCTCGGCCGGTGATGGGTTTTTAAATGCAACACCAAAAGTATTACCCATCTTACCATACAACAGACCGTTATTCAGGGTTAAAAAGAAATCGACTATTTCGTCCATGAAAAGCTGTGGCGGAACCTTAAATGCACAGTATTAGGTAAAAGGATCCAATCTGAAAAGCTATCTATTGTACAATTTCAACAATATGCCATTCTGGAAAAGACAAAACTATGAAGACAGTAAAAGGATCCGTGTTGCCAGGGATTGGGTGGGGGAAGAGATGAATGAACCTGCTCTTAATGATACTGCATTGGTTGCTACATTTCATTACACATTTGTCAAAACCTGTAGAACAAACAACACCAAGAGGGAACACTAATATAAACTATGGACTCGGACAATGACGTGTCAGTGTAGCTTCATCAGTTGAAATAAATGTACCCTCTGATGGGGTATGCTGATCATGGGGGAAACTGTGCATGTGGGGGGCGGGAGGGGCATATGGGAATCTTGTTCCTTTTGTTCGATTTCGCTGTGAACCTAAAACTCTCTAAACAAAACAAACAAAGCAAACCTTAAGAATGTATTGAAGATTAGATTAGGGAGCTAGAAAATTTTTCCTAAGAAATTCTTCTAGGAAAAACAGAAAAGTATAAACGGCTGGAAAGTATTTTTGAAAATTTAGAGAGGAATGAAGAGAAGTTGGTTTGTGGGTACAAAAATATAGTTAGGTTGGAGCAATAAGTTCTAGAGTTTGATAGTACGGTAGGAAAATTATACGTCACACTAATTTACTGAAAATTTTGATATGGCTAGAAGAGAAGAATTGTAATGTTCCCAACACAAAGAAAAGATAAATGTTTGAGGTGATGAATATCCCAAAACTCAAAAGCTACTAAAGAAAAAAGAAATTACCTACATAGAAATCAGAATGAGACTGGCATAAGGACATCTCTCATCAGCAATCTGGATGCAAAAAAAAAAGAGCTGAAGAGAAAGAACGTATTTAACAGCCAAATTATCATTACATGTAATTCAAAATAAACAAAATTTTTTAAGTGTTGCAGGATTCAAAAAACTTTCTATCAGTGTTGTTAAAACTTGGAATTAAGCCGGGCTCGGTGGCTCAGCCTGTAATCCCGCGCCTTTGGGAGGCTGAGGTGAGTGGATTGCCTGAGCCCGTGGGTTCGAGACCCGCCTGGGCAGCGAGACCTCATCTCTACAATAAATCAAAAAATCAGCTGGGCGTGGTAGTGCATGCCTGTAATTCCAGCTCCTTGGAAGGTTGAGGCGGAAGGATCGCCGGAGCCCAGCAGGTCGAGGCTGCGGTGGCTGGGAGCGGCCACTGCACTCCAGTCTGGGCGACAGAGTGAGACTCCAACTCAAAAAAAAAAACAAAAAAAAACTTGGAATTATAGGAAGTAAGACTGAACAAAGAAATTATTAACTTTTTACTTATTTATTTTTTAATTCACCAAAAGGATTTATTTATGTATTTATTTATTTTTTATTTCAGTAGCTTTAGGGATACAAGTGGGTTTTGACTACATGAATGAATTGTATAGTGGTAAAGAAGTCTAGGCTTTAAGTGTACCCATTGCCCGACTAGTGCACATTGTACCCAACAGATAATTTTTCATCCCTTCTCCTGCTTCCTACCCTCCCCCTTCTGAGTCTCCAGTATCCATTATACCATTTGATATGCTTTTGCAGACCCTTAGTTTAGTTTCTACTTATAAGTGAGAACATACGGTATCTGGTTTTTAATTATTGAGTCATTTCACTTAGGATACTACCCTCCAAATCCATCCAAGTTTCTGCAAAAGACATTATTTTGTCTTCGTGTGTGTATATATACACATATATGTGTGTGTGTATATATATATATATATATATATATATAATATATATATGTATATATGTGTGTGTGTGTTGCACACACACACATACCACATTTTCTTTATCTATTGATTGGTTGATGGGCACTTAGGTTGATTTCACATCTTTGCAATTGTGTATTGTGCTGTAACAAACATGCACATGCAGATGTCTTCTTTGTATAGTGACTTTTTTCCTTTGGGTAGGTACTCATCAGTAGGATTGCAGGACAGAATAGCAGATCTGCTTTTAGTTCTTTGAGAAATTTCCATACTGTTTTCCATAGAGATTGTTCTAATTTACATTCCCACTGATAGTGTGTTCGTGTTCCTTTTTCACTGCATCTAAACCAACATCTATTGTTTTTTGACTTTTTAAATAATGGCCATTTTGTTTGGGGTAAGGTGGTATCTCATTGTGATTTTCTTTTCTTTTTTTTTTGGAATTGGAGTCTCACTCCGTGGCCCAGGTGGGGATGCAGTAGCACGCTCATGGCCACTCCAGCGTCCACCTGCTGGACTCTGGCCATCCTTCTGCCTCAGCCTTCCAAGTAGCTGAAACTACAGGCATGCATTACCATGCTCAGCTAATTTATTTATTTATTTTTATTTTTATTTTTATTTTTTTTGAGTTGGAGTCTCACTCTGTCACCCAGACTGGAGTGCAGTGGCCGCTTCCGGCCACCGCAGCCTCGACCTGCTGGGCTCCGGCGATCCTTCCGCCTCAGCCTTCCAAGTAGCCGGAATTACAGGCATGCGCTACCACGACCGGCTGAGTTTTTTGATTTATTGTAGAGATGAGGTCTCGCTGCCCAGGCGGGTCTCGAACCCGCGGGCACAGGCAATCCACTCACCTCAGCCTCCCAAAGGCGCGGGATGACAGGCTGAGCCACCGAGCCCGGCTATATTTTTATTTTTATTTTTAATTTTAATTTTTTTTTGAGTTGCGGTCTCACTCTATCGCGCAGACTGGAGTGCAGTGGCCGCTCCCAGCCACCGCAGCCTCGACCTGCTGGGCTCCGGTCATCCTTCCGCCTCAGCCTTCCAGGTAGCTGGAACTACAGGCACGCGCTACTACACCCAGCTAATAATTTTTGATTTATTGTAGAGACAAGGTCTCACCAAGTTGCCCGGACTGGTCTTGAACCTCTGGGCTCAGGCAATCCATTTGTCTTGGCCTCCCAAAGTGCTGGGATTACAGGCTGAGCCCAGCCCTCATTGTGATTTTAATTTGCAAGAAATTATTAACTTTTTAAAGTTACCTAAGTGTGAGTTGCTTTTAAAAAAAATAAATATAAAAAATGTACTAATTTTGACGATATTGCTGTGGTGGAAATGAGGGCTGGGTTGAAGAGGAGGGGCAAAGTAAAGAGACAGGACTGGGGTTCCTGACTCCCTGGCTCCAGCATGAAGGACAGATTTTATCCTATGTGCCTATTAAAACTTCTTGTTACCAGTGTGAGATTATTTAATTACAGAAACTAAGCCTAAATGTTTAAAGATTCTTAGAGTACTTTAACAATGTCTGTTGAATGTAACAGTAAAAAAATGGGATCTGTAAAAGAAAAAAGTGTTTGGAGAGAAGTAAAGTGTTCCATTTAGGCACTCTCAAATTCCAATAGCAGAAAACTCAACTCAAAGTGGCTTAAACAATGAAGGGAATTCATTGGTTCAAATAACTGGAGCCAGTTCCTGGTTTTTGATCTGCACCCTGTCTACTGCTTCAGACTCTTGCAAGTCACTTTCTGGCTTAATTCCTACTTTCTCAGCACTCAAACCTTCTTTCCATCAGATTGGAATTTTCCAGAATTTCCTTCAGGCCTCAGGAATCCCTCTCTGCAACTCTCTGGAACCTCTCCTCTTCACTCCACTGCCAATCTGAATTCTACTCATCTTTTCAGTCTAAGTGTCTCTTTCTTAAGGAAGGTCCCCTGCTCCCACTGCTAGCCAAGTAGCTGCTTTCAAAGAATCCTGCACTTTTTTGCTAGCATTTCCAAGGTGGCAATGATTTTACAGGTATTCGTGAAATTTATCATTTAATATCTGTGTCCATGCCCAGAGACTCTAAACTCTAAACTCCTAGACTGTGTGCTTCTTCACCTGATGTTTTACCCCTCAATAAACACTTGTGGAATAATTTAATGGATTCATCTTTATCATACCCTGGGTTTTCACACAACTTTAATATCTAAGTTCAGAATGAAAGAGATTCTAGAAGCACATAACTGTACTGGGCACGGCCCTATTTGGGATTACTTAGCCTTTCTTCTCAGACTCCTTCAAGCCAGAAGCAGGGGACCACCTCTTAGAGGACACATCGCTTACTTCCCCTCCTGTTATCTTGTTCCTGACCTCCCGCATCTATTCATCATCTCCTTTTCTGAGGACGCAGCAGCTCCATTAAAGAGAAAAACATTCTGAGTGGAGAAGGAAGCAGTGACTCATTACAAGCACACCATGGACCCATGATAACCCTTTACAATGCCATAGTTGACTGTGACTAGCTGGCTCTACTTAGTGGAATGCTGTGCTAAGACAGTCTTGGATTTAGAGCCTTGTTGGTTAGTTGTACTTTAGCCATAGGTTGTAACTGTAACTCCTTTACAGATCTGTGCTGTTCGTTCTCAAGAATCATATAAATAGGGAACTGGTTAAATTTACTCTCATCCCTTCCCACCCCTTTGCCCAGAAAAAATAAAATGTAAGGGCTGCTCTTGGCAGATGTCTAATAGGTCAAACAAAACACTTCACATGACAGTGTCTTGAAAAGTAGATAATAATAGAGATATAAGGCATATTAGTAACTTCTTCAGAGATGATGGGCTGTACAGCATGCTATATATTTATTTAAATCTGTGGACTCACATCATAGAGAATGAAGATTTTAAATGTGCCTCTGCAAATGTTCCCTTAGATTCTAAGAATGCAGTTCGCCTGGCAGATTTTGACAAAAGCACCCAGCGGACTAGAGACCCACAGGAGATCAAGAATGATCTAGAGGTAATTTCTATAACCTGGTCGACTTTCTCTTCCTTCAAGTCCTTATTTGCTCACCACCTTATTTCCTGTGGCCAACTGGAGAATGTTCCCATTTTAATCAGGAAGGAAAGAACATTCCAGGCTTTCTGCCACCTTGTTCACTATCCTTAGTCCCCTGATGACCATGGCATTTCCTTGAGCCTTTCCCACAGCAGAACTTTCAAGATGAAGAAGAGAAGACATAACAGCCTGGGTCAGTGTGGAGTGGGCTGTCGCTGTGGCCTTTTTCTATATCTTTTTGACTCTCTTTCCTTCTGCTAGCTAAATTAGTAAATACATTGAGCATGCCACACCTCTTCTCCAAATACCTCCAGAAGGGAATTTCAAAATATCTCCAAAGTCGTCCAAGAGTTACTTTCCTGCCTAAGGACAAAGTAAGTGAGATTTCTTTTTCCCACTGCATTCAGACTCGTGAGCTAAGCTCTGAGGAAGGTCAGATACCAAGGCCCTTTGATAACTCCCAGAAGGGATGGGGTCAGTCCCTAGCCTGAAAGAGCTTGAGCTTATCCAAAAGGGTTAAGACCCTGAAATAGGCTGGGCATTGTAGCTCACGCCTGTAATCTCAGCACCTTGGGAGGCCATGGTGAGGGAATTGCTTGAGCCCAGGAGTTTGAGATCAGTCTGGGCAACATAGTGAGACCCTGTGTCTGCAAAAAGTCAAAGAAAGCAGCTGGCCATGGTGGCTCACACTTGTAGTCCCAGCTACTTGGGAGACTAAGGTGGAAGGATCACCTGAGCTCAGGAAGTTGAGGCTGTAGTGATCTGTGATTATGCCACTACACTCTAGCCTGGGCAACAACAACAACAACAACAACAATAAAAACCCCTGAAATAGCTGTTGCTCCTGAGGGGACATGGAGACTGGTCTCTGCAGACCAAAGCCTGCTGGCTAATTGACCCTGGCAGGACAGTTCTCTCCTAGAGAGCTCCCCAAGGTACTGAACTTTCAACCCCATGAGCAAGAGCTCTCTGTCCTTGTGTCTGGTCTCTTGGTTTGGTGGCTCCATATTTCAGCTTTCCCCCTGATTTGTGGCTAATGCAGAAAGTTCCTAAGATAACCTCTTTCTCTGCCTTTCCTTCCTGCTGTGACCTGTTTCCGGGGGCTGTCACTGGACTGGCTCCTTTTTTTTCTGCTATACATAGCCCCAGCCCCAAAGTCTGGGTTACCAGTCAGGCTCTCAGTACTCCCCTTGTTTAACACATTCTTTCTTTCCCCAATTTATTTGTATTCTATCCATACATTTGAGGCCCAGCTCAAATCCCTCTCCCTCCCAGCAGTCTGCCCTGGCAACACTGGCCTAGAATTATCTTTTGCTTTTCATAAACCTAAATTGTGGGACCATATACTGTCTTGAAGAGTTCTCCATGCACAAAGCTGTGTCTTCTTTCCCTAGCAAGCCTGTAGACACCTTGAGATTTCTGTCTTCTGTTTGCTAATAACCTGCTTAACACCTCCAAGGTTACCCAAATAGAGAAATTATTCATGAGCACCTTTGGCTTGCTTGTGGCTTTTGTGCAGGCCCTTGGACGGCTGGTCCTATATGTGGTAAAGAAGGGAGCTATCTCTTTTGAGACATTGGAGGCTCAGAGTAATGAAGAAGTGGTTCAACTCTCTCCAGATGAGGAAACTAAGGACCTCATTCACCATCTTTTCCACCTGGAGAACAATGTGAGGGACTGTTTTTTGAGTGACTTGCTGGGTCATCCCTTCTTCTGGACTTGGGAGAGGTAAGTAGAACTTGAGTGGCTATCAGACTTCCGGAACAGGGTGAGGTGGTGTGGACAAGACTTGGGACTGGGAATCAGCACACCTGGGCTTTCCTCTCAGGTTGGCATTTTCTGGCTGTGTGTTCTTAGAGAGACGACATAACCTCTTTGGATTCTGGCTTTCTTTTCTGCAGAATAAGAGGGAAGAAAAAAAAGATGCCTGCCTCTCTCATCATGCAGAATATTTGAAAGCATAATTTTACTATTTTATTAAAAACCAAAATTTAATGGTTTTCTTTTTCTGGAAAGAGTGGGAAGGATGGAATGACCATGATAATTCTGTCATCCTCAGTCGCTATAGGACACTGCGGAATGTGGGAAATGAATCTGACATCAAGAAGCCAAAACCTAACAGTGATATCCTCAAACTACTGCAACATTCCGAAAGTTTTGACAAGTGGCCTTCTAAGGTACAAACAATTTCTATGGTCCAGGGTTATTCCAGGAATGAGAATTTGTGCAATGCTTTGCTTTAGTTTTTATACTGTTGGCCAACCAGGTGCTGAAGGAGGTGATTTTCTCTCCCTCCCTCCCCTTCCTAGTCATCCTTGGCTCTTTTGGGTCTCTGCTCCCTCTTTCAGAGGCCAGGCCTCCCTTTTCTCCACAGACTCAAGTCTCCCTAATAGACTCGTATTCCGACTCCTCCTTAGGATGGCTTTGTCTTGGTCTATGAGCCACCTGCTAATCCTATTACCATTTTGGCAAGAGCAGCTGACTAAATAGAGCTTCACCCACCGTAAGGCATTTCAGTCCAAAGAGAGTCTGACTGCCTTCACCGCCTGTGAATATCCCAGCATTCAAGATCCACACACAAACCTTCTGCCTGGGGAAACAGGCTATGAAGTAAAGATGTAAAATTAAAGATGTAAAAGTAAAATTCCCCCTCTTCAAGAAAAGTTCTACCTAATGTGAACCAAATATACTGGAATTCTACAAAGTTAACTTCCATTTCAATCTAGACAGTAGTATCAGAACTTTCATTATTTTTACCAAATATCTATGACAGTACCAATGATGTGGTAGGCCCGGGCGAGGTCCTGAGCATTCAAAGCAGAATACAGCATGGTCCCCGAGGGACATGCACAAAGCACTATGGGAGAACCACATCTTTAGGTTCTTGAAACCAACAGCTTCCCAGGCCTGCCCTAGGGCTCTGCTTCTCCTATACATCTTTGTTTCTCATTCTCATTTTGCTTTCCTTCTCTCATTTGCCTCTAGACTATACCCCATTCCTGGCTTAAGGTCCGTTTTCCTCGCTGGTCTGTAAGTGCCATGAGGGCAGAGATTGCCCATTGTCTTGTCAGTTACTGCATCCCTGGCATGGAATAGGCACACCATGACGCTCCGCCGAATGAATATCTGTAAAACTTCAGATAAAGGTTAAGCTTGCAGAAATAGAAATCTGAAACCAAGCTGCGCTTGGTGGCTCAGCCTGTAATCCCGTGCTTTGGGAGGCTGAGGTGAGTGGATTGCCTGAGCCCGCGGGTTCGAGACCCGCCTGGACAACTTGGTGAGACCTCATCTCTATAATAAATCAAAAAACTAGCCGGGCATGGTAGCACGCGTCTGTAGTTCCGGCTACTTGGAAGGCTGAGGCGGAAGGATTGCCGGAGCCCAGCAGGTCGATGCTGCGGTGGCTGGCAGCGGCCACTGCACTCCAGTCTGGGCAACAGAGTGAGACTCCAACTCAAAAGAAAAGAGAAATCTGAAACCAGAGTAGATGACAGTGGTAGCTAACGATTATGCGGTGCTTGATTGATTATATGGCAGCTGTAATTCTCAGGAATTTATGTGACTTACCACATTTAATTCTTATTATAACCCTGAGACAATAATCAAGATTTTGCAGATGGGCAGGCTGAGGCACAGACTAATAATTTTTCCAACTACACAGAGCCAGTAAGGGGTGCAACAGGATTTGATGCTGGGAATAATGGCTGCAGAGGCCATGTGCTTGGGCTATTCCACGACACGAAGCTGTAATGGTGGCATGTCCACCAACTCATTTAATCACCAAAGAAATTGAGGCTTAGAGACCATTCCCAAACTACCCATGTCTGGGCAGCCAGAGACTGGTAGAGCTGGAAAGAAAACCTGTTTCTTTGTTTCCTAATTCATTGGTTCTTTCCTTAAATTTCATTGACTTAGACTGAATTTTGATTGACTTCAAGTTTTGACTTTCAATTCCTATTTTTCATTTCCCTTCTTATGCCGATTTTAGTGACTTGCCCATTTTCATAGTTCACACAAATAATTTTGTCAGCACAGGTCTAGAGCCCAAGTTTTGTAACGGATACAACTGCATTTGTTCTCAGTTGGCTCCACCCTGCCACATATACATGCTGGGTGTCTCTCATGTGAGTTCTGCCCATAGTACACTGGGGCTGTCTCAGTAGCCTCCTCTCTTGTGTTGGTCTTTTCATCAGTTACTCTTTCTAAGTGACCCACTGGCTTCATAGTTGTTTATCTTGTTCTCTTAGACTAAACTGTTTCTAAATATGAGAGCCATCTATGAGGGTAACAAGCACAGAGAAAGAGGAAGGCATATGATATGAAAGAGCCAGCTGTGGTGACTCACACTTATAATCCCAGCACTTTGGGAGGCTGAGGTGGGAGGATTACTTAAGCCCAGGAGATCAAGTCTAGGCTGGACAACATAGCAAGACCTCATATCTACAAAAATTGTTTTAAAAATTAGCCAGGCATGGTGGTGCTTGCCTATAGTCCCAGCTACTCAGGAGACTTGAGGTGGGAAGGATTGCCCAAGCCCAGGAAGTGCGGAAAGAAAAGAAAGAAAGGAGTTGGCATACCTAGAAGCAAGGAGAAGCAAGGATCCTTTTTGTTTGTTTGTTTGTTGATACATGGATGTATTGTACAGTGGTAAAGTCTGGGCTTTTAGGGCTGGCATTACCTAAATGATGTATATTGTACCTATGAAGTAATTTATCATCCCTCACCCCCCCCCCCCCACTTTTTGTAGTCTCCAAATTGCTTAGCGCTCACTTGTAAGTGAGAACATGTGTTATTTGTCTCTCTGTTCCTGGGTTTCACTTAGGATAATGGTCTCCAGTTCTGAACATGTTACAGCAAAAAACATAATTTTATTTTTTATAGCTGTATAGTATTCCAGCCATTTTATTTATCCAATCATCTGTTGATGGACCCTTGGGTTTTTTACTAATATCTTTGCTACTGTGAATAGTGCTGTGATAAACATACAAGTGCAGGTGTCTTTTTGATATAAAATTTATTTTCCTTTGGGTAGATACCCAGTAGTGGAATTACTGGATCAAATGGTAGTTCTACTTTTAGTTCCTTGAGCTATCTCCTTAGTGTTTTCCATTGAGGTTGTACTAATTTATATTCCCACCAACAATTCATATGCATTCCCTTTTCCACATCCTTACCTGTACCTGTAACTCTCTGACTTTTAAATAATAACTATTCTGACTGGTATAAGATGGTAACACATTATGGTTTTAATTTGCATTTCTCTGATGGTTAGTGATGTCGAGCATTTTTCATATGCTTGTTGCCTATAGGTATGTCTTCTTTTGAAAAATATTTATTCATTTCCCCTGTGCACTTTTCAATGAGGTTATTATTATTATTGACTTGTTTGCATTCCTTGTAAATTCTGGTTATCAATCCTCTGTCGGATGCATAATTTGCAGGTTGTCTATTTACTCTGCTGATTATTTTACCATGCCGAATATTTTTAGTGTAATTAAATACAATTTATCTTTTTTTAGTTTTGTTTCTTGTACTTTTGAAGTCTTTGTCATGTATTCTTTGCCTAGACCAAGGTCCAGAAGAGTGTTTCCTGGGTTCTCTTCTAGAATTTTTATTCTTTGAGGTCTTACATTTAAGTCTTTAATCCATCTTGAGTTGACTTTTATATATAGTGAGAGATAGGAGCCCAGTTTCATTCTTCTGCACATGGCAATCCAATTTTCCCAGCACGCATAGCTTATTTTATATTGCCACTACATTTTTGTGTTTGTTATGTTTTGTTTTTTAGATTGATGATGTAAGGGTGTCATTTCTTTAGTGTATGCTTTTGCTGACTTTGTCAAAGATTAGTTGGCAGTAGACATGTGGCTTTATTTCTGAGTTCTCCATTGACCTATGTGTCTATTTTTATACCAGTACTATGCTGTTTTAGTTACTGTAGCTTTGAAATATAATTTGAAGTCAGGCAACATGATGCCTCCATCTTTGTTCTTTTTGCTTAGAATTGCTTTGGCTATTTGGGCTCTTTTTTTGGTTTTATATGAATTTTAGGATTGTTTTTTCTAATTCTGCAAAAAATAACATTGGTATTTTGCTAAGGAATCTGTAGATTGCTTTGGGCAGTATAGCCATTTTAACAATATTAATTCTTCCTCTTGGAAATATAAAGAAAACAAAAACAAACAAACAAAAAACAACTCATACTTTGGCAATGGCTGCCAGAACTGGTTTCAGTCTGAACAACCCTCTTTAAGGAGGAAATATAATCAAGTATGAATTTGGAATGGATAAGCATACTGTATATATAATGAGGGTAAGAATACTGTATATATAATGAGTAGATTTTCTAGAGCAGTAAAGATTTTTTTTTACCATATTTTAATAATCTAATTTCTTATGGAAACAATTTACTTGGAAAACAGAGGCACAAATTTTAAGATACTTATAATTTTGCACTCAGATACAACTATTGTTAGCATTTTGATATACAGGGTTTACTTTCATTGTTTTTCTTTCTATTGATTTGCTTTATTAATTAGTGGTAATGATAGCATATATTCAAATTTATATTTTGCCTTTTGGTATGAATATTCCATCAGAACTTGTTTTGTGTTGCTACTACATTTTTGCATTTGCTGTGTTTTGTTTTTTAGATTGATGAATATGTTATGAAAGAAATGAATAAGTTCTATAAAAGAAGAAAGGACAAGGTCTACCAGGACACTGTGGGTGATCTGCTGAAGTTTATCCGAAATATAGGAGAACACATTAATGAAAAAAAGAATGAAAAGTATTGTTTTTACTCTTATAAATCACATGTTAAATAAGAAGAGTTAAAAAATTGAGTTATGAACTCATAACTGCTATGGAAAGAAGAACATTTATTTTGATGGAAGAAAAGTAATTCCTTCCCTCCGTTTGGAAAAGGGCTATCACTATCTTACAATTATTGATAGACATGTGTCCAGCAGGCTCTTATCTTCCTGTTTAACTTTTGCTGGAAAAAAAGGTAAAACAAGCAGGATAGAAGTTAGTGATTCCCTCGTGTGAAGTAACACAGGAGACTGAATGACTGGGTTAAGTGAACATCGAGTTATTATAAAAGTCTGAAAATAACCCACATTAGTTAAATCAGCTTTTGCTGATCGATAGCAAAAATATTAATTGCAGACTCACAAAAAAACTTTGCAGTTGAAAATTTTACAATTGTCAACAGGGGATTGTGGCATTATATAATTTCCATTTTATGAATGAACAAACTGAAGTTTCGAAAGAGTAAGTGGCCAAAAGTTACACAACTAGTTAAAGGGTCAGGAAATGAATCTTAGTAAAGTCCTTATCCATTCTGCTATAGAAAGCAAGAGAGCAAGAGATCTTTGGGGCTAGATGCTGTGAAGGAGGGTAAGGGTAATTTGGGGGTAAGCATGCCAAATTGTTTGTATTTTATTTCAGGATAAAATCGAAAATTGGAGAGCCTTCCCAGTATTTCCAGGAGAAATTTCCAGATCTGGTGATCTATGTCTATACAAAACTGAAGAACACAGAATACAGAAAGCATTTCCCAGAAATCCACTGTTCAAACAAGCCTCAGTGTGATGGAGGTGGTGCGGCCAGCAGGCTGGCTAACCCTGAGTGCTGATGAACTGAGTCGTTCGAGTTCAGGGAGCCACTTATTAGCTGCGGAATCCTTGGCGAGTCACAACTTTCTGGGCCTCTTAACTAATCCTATTGCTTGTGAGAAATGAATTAGATATCTGATGTGCCAGTCTCTATAACAAAAACAGTATATGCCCAGACTGCACTGGCAGGTAAAGCTTATGGACAGAAACTGAAAGGATATTCTTCTAGGAGTCCTCTTGACAATTGCACCAAAGGAGTGAGTGCCTCAATCTCTAATGCTCTACGTGTTACAACAGTTATGTCTTTTAATTCTCCCAATGACCTTGCAAAGCAGGGTTTACTATCTCCATTTAAGACTGAGGATCCTATGAGGCACAGTAGCTCACAACTGTAATTCCAGCACTATGGAAGGCTAAAGCAGGAGGATTGTTGATCCCAGGGGTTTGAGACCAACCTGGGCAACAGTGTGAGAACTTGTCTCTACATAAAAATAAATAAATAATACACAATTAGCCAGCTATGGTGGCTTTTGCCTGTAGTCCCAGCTACTCAGGAGGCTGAGGCTGGAGAATCCCTTGTACCCAGGAGTTTAAGGCTTCATTGAGCCATGATCATACCACTGCACTCCAGCCTGGGTGACAGAGTGAGAACCTGACTAAAAACAACCAAAAAAGTAATAGTAATAATACAAAGAACTAAGCATCCTGAAAGTCAGAGAATCTGAGCTATTGACCCAAGGGATGCAACTTGTAGAGAGCACTGTATAAGTGGATGTGATGCTGTTGTTACCTCTTACTTGGGCACCTGAGACCTTAATTAGCAGCTTTTTGGATGACAGCCATAAAGGAATATGCCAAAGGGGCCGCAGGAGGCATATTTATTTGTTTAATATTTATTGAGTGTCTAGTATATGTCTAGGTATTATGTACATAAATTTCATATCTGCTAGGCCAGTTGCTGTGACTCACACCTGTAATCCCAGCACTTTGGGAGGCAGAGGTGAGAGGATTTCCTGAACCCACAGGTTCAAGACCAGTCTGGGCAACTTGGCGAGACCTCATCTCTACAGTAAATACAAAATTAGCTGGGTGTGGAAGGATCAGTTGAGCCCAGCAAGTCAAGGTTGTGGTGGCTGTAAGCATGCCATTGCACTCCAGCCTGGGTGACAGAGTGATATGTCAACTCAAAATTAATTAATTAATTAAATTCCATTACTTCTAGAACTGCACTGATTTTCCATGCCCTTAAGGCAGCAGTTCTCAACTGGGGGCAGTTTTTCCCCCTCAAGGAAGATTTTGGCAGTGGCTGGAGAAGTTTTTGGTCTCACAACTTGGGGAGGGGAATGCTATGGCATTTAGTGGGTAGAGACCAAGGATGTTGCCGGCCCTACAATGCACAGGACAGCCCTCACAGCAATCATCCAGACCAAAATATCATTGGTGCTGAAGTTGAGAGAGCCTGCCTGAGCCAGGCACAGTGGTTTACGCTTATAATCCTAACACTTTGGGAGGCCGAAGCTGAAGGATTGCTTTAGTCTTGGAGTTCGAGACCACCCTGGACCACACAACAATTTTTCATCTCCAAAAAAAAATGAAAAAGTTAACCAGGCGTGATCATGCTTCCTTGTAGTCCCAGCTACTCAGGAAGCTGAGATAGGAGGATTGCCTGAGCCCAGGAAGTTGAGGCTGTGGTGAGATGTGATTGTGTCACTGCGCTCCAGCCTGGGTGACAGAGTGGACTCTGACTAAAAACAAACAAACAAATAAATAAACAAAAAAACCCAGACAACAACAGAGAGAGAGAAAGAGAGAGAAAGCTTGCTTTAAAGGGCTGAGATGCTTTTAAACTGGCTGAGGGACCCAAGACTGTGGAGCGTGTGGACCACCCCACAGAAGAATGACTTGGATTTGTTTTCTTGCAGCTGGATCTGTGGCAAGCAATTCCTTTTGGTGTCAGTCCTCAGGAATTTCCCCCGCCCACAACCTCACTTCCCATACCCATTCTCAGGTCTCTTTCTGGCTCCACAGCATCCAGAGCTTCTTAGGGACAATGAGTATCTTTTTTTTGATTTTGTGTCTTCACTGCCTAGTAAAGTGTCTGCCACATGGTAATGCTTAAGAAATATTGATTGAATAATGGATGAATCATCTTCGAACAGGAATAATAATATAACCTTACTTTTTTATGATGCTTTATAATTTATACACTATATTTGCATCTCATTTAGTTTTCGAAACAATCCTGTGGGGTAAGCATTGGTATCCTCATTTTGCTGTTGAGGAAACTAAGGTTAGAAACATTTTGATTGATTCTAGTACATGTCACTAGGAAGTGTGACTATTTAGATTTGAACAGATTTCCTGGTGCTAAGTCTGATGTTCTTTCCCCTAATTATTGTGGTGGTGAAGATGGACCTTTGTAACAGGAACAAAGCAGTATCTTTGGTTCTTTTTGGAAAGGAGGTGTCCAATAATGGGTAAATGGGTGTCACCAAAGTGTTGGAAGGAACAAAGGCTGTTTTTAAAATAAAGATTTTTATGAGCAGCAAGATTATTTTATGTTTTAAAATTAAGCTTTAGTTGTCTGATATGTAGTGAATATCTGGATATGTCAATCAAAATGCCCACTTGTAAAGCTTACTCAATAAAACTTTAAATCATCTTACTAAGTCTACTTTTCTTTGAGTGATATTTCTCCTTTGAGAATAGTAATACCTATAATAGAAAATACTCAATAAGTAATTCCTGGGTGAGTTTTAAGAAAGGACATCCTGCTCTCTAAAAATGGGGAAAGGAGCTATTTTTGGTTCTTCTGGAACCGTGTGGGCCCTGGATGTCTTTGAAGAGAGAGAAGAAATGAACCGGTTATTTTACCCTCTGTTTGAATTATCTGAGAGTTTCCATTGACATTTTGCAAATATTCCTCATTCAGTTGTCATTGCCACCAATATTTTATAGCCCCTGTTGGGCACTGTGTTGGGGAAGGCGATTCAGTGCCTGGACTTGCCAAGTAGAGGTGTCAGTTACACAGAGAAGAGAGGAGGTTGTCCACCAGGAGGGTTCTGGACAAAGCAACATAGGTGAGATGACAATAGCAAAAGTAAGAAAGCTACTACTTATTGAGCACCTACTGTTTTCTCGTGCCTAGTGCTTTTGCATATGACTTCCAGCAACATCCGTGATGATGCTGTAAGCTGTAGTCTCCATTTTAAAGAAGACACAATTAATGTTCAGAATTAGTACGTTGTCCAAATTATACAGATAGTAAGTGCAAGAGCCAAGACCCAGGGCAGTGAGTTCATAGGGTGTTGTCTTTCTGGAGTGCCAAAGGTGATGAGTTCAGGCAGGCTGGACTGGCCACTTTTCAGATGTATCAGAGCTTTCATCCATTCCTCTCTATTGAAGCCTAGGAGTACAAGGTTACCAATGACCTTCATAGTGCCAAATCCATTGGTTCACACCCATCTTCATTAACCTCACAGCTTAACTGTCTCCTTTAGCATCCTCAACACGGCACTCACCTGCCTTGCTTCCTCATCGGTTGCTGCTCCAGTGTCCTTTGACAGCTCCTTCTCTAGTGTCCCCAAGCTAAACCTCACGCAGTTAACTTCCCCCCCCCTTTTCCTAGATGTTCTCTTTGATTAGCAAGATGGAGAGTCTCATAAGTGGGTAGATGAGATCCAGGGTTTGAAATTTAGTTTCCTCCCTCAATGTTACTGCCATCCACCTCATCTGATCCCGAATGATCAGTCTCAATTGTTTTTTTTTAACCAATCCCACAACATCCAATCTATTAACAAGTCCAGTTGGTTCTGCCACCAAAATAGATTCCAAATCACTTCACAACCCTTTGTCTCTGCTGCCTGTCTCAAATCGCCATCATTTCTCATGTGGACTGAAGTGTGAGACCCGACACTGACTTTCCTACTTCCATTCTTGTCCCACCAAAATTCATTCTCCACGAAGTGATCTTTTAAAAACTGCAAAGCAGGTGAAGTCACTTCCCTGTTTAAATTCCTCCAGTGGCTTCCTGTTGCAGTGAGGAAAAACCCCAAACAGTTTACTGTCACACACGTGAACTTGGTGCCCATCGTCTTTTACCTGCATATCTTGCAGACACAACCTCCATCCACCTTAGTCTTATCTCTGTTCCTCAAAAATGCTGAGACCCTTGCCTCCTCAGGGTCACAGATTCTGCAACTCCTCTGCCTGAAGTTGTGTTCTGCCAGACTTTGCATACTAACTCCTTCTGATCTTCTAGGCTTCAGCTACAACGTCACTTCCTAGGTGGGACTTTCTAATCCAAAGTTGCTTCCAGCTCTCATTTTTAAATTTGTAATATTGTAACACTATTCATTGTTTGAAATGATCAAATTTACTTGTTTATGTGTACACAAAGGGCTGTGTGTGTGGTTTTGTTTTTATTGTATTGTATTGTATTTTTTGAAGTCTCACTCTATCACCCAGATTGGCGTGCAGTAGCATGTTCATAGCTCACCGCAGCCTTGACCTCCTGGGCTCAGGCTATTCTTCAGCTTCAGCCTCCTGGATAGCGGGGACTACGGGCACGCTTCATCATGCTCGGCTAATTTGTTTTTTTGTAGAGACAGGGTCTTGTTATGTTGGCCAGGTTGGTCTCGAATTCTTGAACTCAAGCAAACTTCTCTTCTAGGCTTTTCGAAGTGTTGAGATTATAGGCATGAGCCACCACGCCCGATGGCTTACATGCTAGTCTCTGTATCCCTCAGCATGATGAGAATATAAGTTCCATGACAGCAGTGATGATGTCTCTCTTACTCATCATCATATCTTTCCCCTCATGTCCAATGCAGTCTCCTAAACAAAGCAGATTTCCATAAATATTGATTGAGTGGTGAAACAAACATTTCTAGAATTGCAACATATCTCTGAGTTATAACTATCCCGTTATAAGCCTGTGTCTTTCTTTAGAATGTGAGCATCTTGAAAGACACAGTTTTTTTCTTATTCATTGTGTTTGGCACAGAATAGATGCTCCATAAAATCCATTACACTGAATTAGTTGATTGCCTCCTTTTAGGGAGCTGTGACATATTAATGTGGGGCTTTTAGTGAAGAAAGATCTTCAAGACCCGAATAAAAAGTATTTGAAAGATGGCATTCCAGCCGCCAAAGCAGGTAGTAGGGAAGGATATTTGGATGCTTTCTGATATCCTTCACATTCTTTAATGCAGGCATTTGCCCCTAAGAGCAACTGTTCTTAGGTCCTTCATGCCCCCTGGCCTGCGGAGCATCCAGGAAGTCCTATAGCCAGGCTTATGGATTCAAAGTCAGCAGTTCCTCCCTCCAAGCCAGCTCCCTTGTAAGGCTCAGCTTTCAGATG